AAGAACCTGATTGGCTGTTCAAAATTAGAATTGTAAACATGCAAAACTATGTAGTCGAATGTAGGCGTGGTCGTAGACGTTTGTGGGAGTGGTCGATATACGAATTTTTTATGCGATTCCACAGTTCGGTGACTTTCGTAATATATTGAAGTATTTTCTTTCCCAGCAAACTTGGAATGCACTTTCCTCACTGCGTGGAAAGCAAGAATGGCAAAGCACAATGGGATTCGGATAAAGGTCTATTAACTGTAACGGTACCTTTACGAAGAGAATATGACTTCCTAGATGTTCATTCACAATGACGCAATATTTAGCCACGTAAGATATGCAAACCAATCGGTATTTAATGCTTGTGTCTTATAAGAGTCACCCGATATTGAACAAGAAGCCGTTGTCTCAAATGCTTACAGATATTGCGATATCGCACTCTGTACGTCGGACCTTGCATAATACTCAGCGACCGGGCAGTCGCGATTAGAATAAATATCGTAATATATTCTTTGTAAATAAGATATACTGTATTTAAACACAATTTTTCACAACTGTAAGTGTAAGTGTAATATAGTGCTGTAGTTTATTGTTAACTACAGTATGTTCCAATATTGAACAGTGTTGAGTTCTGCGGATTGAAATGGAAGTAGCGGAGTAAAATGGCAAAGCAACCAAAAGGCAAACTTAAAAGTTTTTTAATATTGCAGTGTAATCTGTTAATTAATGAACTTATGTGTATTAGGACTATATAAATTTATATATATAACTAACATGCAAGGATGTTCACGAGTGCGAGTGGCAAAAATCAGAATAGGAACTTGCAAATCCTGTGTTCATTTAATGAAGAGAAATATGTAGCCAATCACGGGCGATCATATAATATGTACAGTACGTCTCCCCAGGTTTACTGAGTTTTTCAGCAGGTGAATCTACGCTGTACTTGGTTAATTCAATTGTTTCTTTGTGGCAAGCCTTGATAAAATATTTTTCTTCCTGGCAGCAGGCTTCCCAGACCTAAAATTTCCTGCCAATTTTTTTTATAAATATGAATTTTGGTTAATAACAGCGTCATATATACTACCTTAATAAGTCCTATACTACCTCAATATTAAGAAAAATATAGGTTTACTAGAATTAGGAACATGAAGGAATTCTATGAAACAATATTTTAATTTTGTTTTCAGATTGTAAATCTGAATTTATATCAGTATTCATGCACTATTTAATAATACTAGTACGCCCTTGTTTTCCACATGTATCATAATCATGATAACAGACAGTTGTAGCACTGCCACGATACAAATTTTTATGTTATGATTGTTGTATTTATGCTCTAATTGTGATGTTTGTTACTTTAATGCTGGTTTTTGAAATTTCTCGAGCTTCATTCTTGATATCTTGCTTTTCCTTAAATTTCCTGTGAGATTAAAAAAATTCCTGGCTGGCGGACTTTCTCATGGCTTGCTTTGTGGTGAAAATCTCAACTTGGAAGCTGTACAAATTCATGATATTTGCAATAATATTTTATTTTTTATAATTTATATATGATAATTTACAACAATGTAAGTGCCAGGAGTCGACCGGTATAGGTGTAAACAAGCGTTTATTGGTTTATCAGTTTAGATTTACCTCTAAATTGTTCCAGAAATCACGCAATGATCCATGGGAATGCTTTACATTTTCCTTTTTCGGCATCGCGTTTGCTGACCTGATGGACGATGCCGAGAAACGAAAAAGTCGCTTCGCATTAACAAATTTGTCTAGTAGAAAACGAGCTTACAGAACAATAGAATGCAGCGCATTAAATTATTCTCGTGGGCCTTTGAAGATTTTCCATTAAAAGCAGGATGAGTCAGTTTAGAATAAATGTTCCCCAGCACATTCCAGTTAATTGTGTACTAAACATTAGAAGTATCGGAATAATCGATCAACATTACTTTCTCCGAGTCATCGTAGTTTGTATTGTAAATTTTCATACAGTTTGCGTGTGGTGTGATACAGGTTTGACAGGAAAATATTGACAGTGAGGATCAAGCATTGGACTGCACACGGAGTATTTGAATGTTGTCCACTGATGTGCTGCTGCACCTGCAATAAATAATTTTTTATCAATTATTGATCATTAAATTTTTACATCAATTAAAATTAATTTGATATAGAGGGTAGGTGATAGAGAACCAAGGGATTCAAACTTCAAAGGAAAAGTGATTTTTGTGATATTGGATGAAATTTGACTTATCCAACTTGGCGGCGGTGACATAACTTGCACATAAAAATATACTAAAATTTGACTGACCATCGATAATTATACTGTAGATACTAACCATATTCTCCATCTACATTTGCTGCAACAATAGCGCCACTGTAATTGGGATAATGCTTTGCAATTCTCAGAACTGCATCTTCAGCTGCTCTCCCTGGACTCATTCCATTACGCATGTTCTCAACTGCTTGATAGCTACAAAGAGATCGTTCATTACAATGAGTTGTACGCTGCATCGCAATACTAGATTCCCCTTATTACGTTTTCGTAGCGCTTTGCATTGTGGTTATAGTGGTATCACTGATATTCAAGATGGCTTATTTTTTGTCCTGACCCGTGCAAGAACTTTTAAAAACGCTAGGGTCAGGTGCGCTATAGCCAACAGCAAAATATTCAAGAAAACATTCAATATTTTCATTCGAGGCCACTATCTTTATCAGTGACACCACTATAACCACAATGCAAAGCGCTACGAAAACGTAATAACGAAAATCGTCAATTGGGTTACAGTTTTTGTAACAAGAAAAATAGTGGAACCCTGTTCATACAGATAAGCCTTAACTTAAATCTCTTAATGTTACACTTCAAAAATCACAACACACAAAATTGTTTCCTTGATAACAACACGTTTAACCCGGCGTGTATATATCTAGTACCACGACTACCTGATGAGGAAAATATTGGTTTGCAGTCTTACGTGGGTAGAAATCTCATCATGATATCTCCATCACCAGTGGCAGCTGCTCCTCCTACTTCACTATCAGCATACGATCCGGCTCCAGCAATTGGTGAATCACCTACACGACTGAAAACACGAAGTATTAGCGATTACATGTGCTTGAATTCTCAATCACTATTTTAGATAATATACTGTACAGGGTTCTGGGAAACATGCGAGTGCATGAGAGGCGGTGACTCTGATCAACTCTCATCCCCGTTTGACCGGGGCTTAACTCTTCTACCCGCCCACCCACACATGCACTAGCTTTTTCAATTTCATATTGGCAGTATATACCCTGGGATTTTATGGTTAGCTCCATTTGTAGTCGTCCCAGCTGCCACTCTTCCAGCTCCATCCATTACAATCATACCTAAAGACGAAATGAATGGAAAATATGATTGTTCTGAAGAAACCTGATTCGCACAATAAAAGTATGTGTTATAAGGAAAGATAAATGTGAAACATTTCTTGCGCGCTAGTTGAAGAAGCTTGGTGTTTGTTTCGTTTCATATATTGAAACTTTAAAACATCGACAGTGATTTGCACTTTTAACGTTGGTGTCTTTGTTTTAACGATTTCTGAGAGTTGAATAATCCTTTAGCCGGTTTCGCAAACATATATACACGAGAAAGACAGTTGAGTTTGAAATACGCCGAAATTTAAGGTATGCCTTATTTATTGTTGCTCGAATTTGTTGCGCACTTTGTTGCGATTAGATAACATACAGTAATTAAAATGTTTATTTGTGTATTTGCCTAAAAAATCGTCTAAAATGTCAGTGAAACGAAATGCCCTAGGGCGTTGGTAACTAATGCTCACCGGCAGTCTTGAAAGTTTTTCAATTAAGCTAGACTAGTTCTGTACATAACGGAAAGACATGTGCATCATGGTTTACCTATTGTGTCGTGGTTATGCTCAGTGGCAAATGACGCGTCTTGACTCCCATCACTGTACTTCCTATATGTAATGGTAACAAGTGGCATAAGCTTCGTTTTCACTGATGTTTTCAAAAAGTGTTAACTGCATGGTGGACAATGCAATCAAAGGGATGAAAAGGTTAAATTTCGTCTTCCCTCGTCAATTAATCGCAGGGAATGCGAAAAATCTCGCGAAAAATTATATTCCAGGAATAAAATATTTTCTCGGTGATATCCTCGTGCATGTTTAGCGCATGAATATCTATATTTTCCTTTGATCTTAACTCCGATCACAACCTTTACTCTACTGTGTGCGAAACATCTAGATATAACCGATTTCACTGTAAAGCCTGGCGCACACGATGCGATTTTAGTCGGCCGATAAAAATCGTTTGACATACCGATATACATCGGTATACTCCGCACACGATTACGAAAAAAATACGCTCCCTGAACTGTAGCCGCCATGTTGCCAAATAAATACAAGCACGTGATCACAGCATGAAATCTGATTGGTTATACTTAAAATTCCACCGATAAAAATCGTATAATATCAAAACGTTTTGATGTCCGATTAAAATCAAGCAACAAAAATCGGTTAAAAATGACACCGCACACACAACGATTTTGTTAGTTTTAGTCAAACGATTTTTATCGGCCGACTAAAATCGCATCGTGTGCGCCAGGCTTAAGCCAATATTCCCCAATTTCCCCCTATTTATAGTATTGATAAATACCGTGCCAGTCCCCCACACGTAAGAATAAGAATGATTTTACTTAAAGTTGCATATATAGTGTAAAATATAACAATTTCACAGCCATTCATGCATGGACAAAGAGTCGGTGTTTACTTGGAATTGTCTGGTTCATACGGACCACACGATGTTTTCGGATCAGGATGTACCATCTAAAATAAACATTACGTCAAGGTGTGAAGCTGCATGGCCTGTAATAATTACAGAGTGGCATTGTTAAGGACTTTCGAAACTGTTAACTACATCAGATTCTATGTAATATCGAAAGCATGATACACTCAGATTTGCAGAAACTTAACCATGAATTCCATAATATAGATTAGATTATTATTTACTAACTGAATACCTTCCAAAAATTAGGCTGGCATTTATTTTCTTTCCAAGACTTCCACATATTTCTAAAGCAATAAAACTATTATTGGGAGTATGTATTATTTCGTGATTTATTATTCTAACTGTCCACTATACCACCCTGTCAGCAACGCCTTAGTGCTTATAGTTGAATATCAAACCAGTATATCAACGTTCATATACGCTGTCAAATCTGCGAATAAGGTATTATATTATTCCAGTTTTCAGATTGCAACTGCACAAAACAAATCACAACTGATCTAACAATACTCTGACTACTCGCAGAGTAATTCCATTGCAGCAGTAAAATTTTCATTGTTTCAGAAACTGACACACCTTACCATTCAATTATTATTATCTGAGAAATCAAGATACTGTATGAGCTATACAACCCCTGCTTCTGCCCTTGGGCCCTCGCGGACTAGTTTCCTTTTCATATA